TTGAGAGTTTTTCGTTCTGGGCACAGCCAAGTAGCTTAACGAATTTTCTTGTGGTGGAATCTAGTGCAATAGACAACCATATATCCGATCCCGGCCTCATCCCATTTGGGGATGTTTCGTCGTTAACGCTGAATTTCCCTCCCTGGCGTTGTAGTCGCCAAGCACATAAGTGTGTTCGAGGCGCTCGTAAAAGGCATCCTTGTTCACGTCGTTCTCTTCTTGCATCGGGACGTGGTCGCAAAACAGTGTAGTGTTAAAAAATTTCGATTTGACTCGGCTTGTGGTGAGACGATCATCCACCGGAGTGAATTCCAGTACTCGGGGGTGGAGTCTCTCTCCCACCACAAATCCTTCACCAAATTTACGCCCCTATATATTGCCGCTGTAGTAATTTCGATAAGGACCCACCTTCTTCCGTCCCTATCCCATCTATCGCATTTCTTGGATAGTGGTGATGCCAGCTTTTAATTTTGTAAGGACATCAGCCAGCTGGGCAGCGGCACCTTCCCAATTAAGAAACCGGAAATTCCAGATGCTTGCCCTCAAATCGTAATCCTTGAAACATTTGAGGCGGTCGTCTCTCAAGCGAGGCATAATATAACTTTTCATTGGAGTTTACTTTTTATGTGGTGGGTCTCAAACCCTACGTACAACCATATGTTTTTTTTGCTACCCAGAAGATATTTGGTCTAAGAACCGTTTCTGGCCACTCCCAGGTGAATGGCTGTCAAAAAGTTTGCTCACTGGCGTGAACTTTGATTTGCCAGAGTTGTTAATTAATTCTCAACTTCAAAAATTGCAAGCATTTCCGTACCTAAATGAAAAAAATTAAGACAAAATTCTAGAATTTTTCAACCGTGTCAGAAATATCGTCGCGCTTTTCAAGTTTGCTAAGTGTGTACATCACCTGATTAATCCCACGCTTTTCGAGTCCTTAGTTGGAAAGTTGCATGCGTCGAAGCAATACGAGTGGAGCCAACGAGCAGACAGTACCTTGCCGTTTCCAACATCATTTTGGGGAATGGCTTAGTGAAATAGCTAAATATATTTCATTATTACTAGGAGTGTCAGGGGTGTCTCTCCATGCCATACAAAGTAACGTTAAGCGGTCAAAGTCGGCAGCGCAGCCAAAATCAATAACCAGACAGAATGTAACAGGCACAAATGCTACACGTTACGCCTTGTATAACAATGAAGTACAGCCTGTAGCAAAAGTAGTTTGTGTAAAATGTGGTCAATCTCACAACTTGGTTGATTACAGTAAATTTTTGTCAAACGATTTTCAATCTAAAGACCTGCGTAAATACCGAACCAGTCGTTCTAGTAAGTCTGGATAATAGTTATCTTGGAATAACAAAGAAGACAGTCCACGCCGGGCCAAATCAGTCAATAGCTATAGATACACAATTAGGTTGGGTGGTATATGGGCCATTGAATCGAAGTCAAGTTATACAGCCTCGTGTGCTGCATGTGCGTGATTCTCATTCTCTAAAAGAGTTTCATAAATTAGTTCAAGAATTTGGGGTACGAAGTTCAAGCTTAGTACTCGATTCAGTTGATAATCGTCTGGTTAGAAAAGTTATGGAGGATACAACAAAAAAGATCGCCGGAAAATATGAAGTGGTATTATTATGGCGAAGTGATGCTACTGTCCGTATGAAAAGGATGCCGATTACAGACACAATATGGAGAAATACGTCAGCAATGGTTACACCCGGTTATTGTCACCGGGTGAAGTTCAACAATCAAGTCTAACTACATGATTTTTGTCACATTTTGGGGTAGTCAACCTCCATAAACCGACCAAACTTCGAAAAGTATACGATGTCGCCGCCAACGTCACTAATGTTTCCTTAAATTCAGTCTTACTAAAAGGTCCGGACCAGGCTCGTTGCATCATACAACGCCAGGGTATCATAGGACTAACAGCCAACGCTCAAGAAATGTTTATTGGTTAAGATCAGGGATACTGATCAGAAATCGCAACTTTTTTTCCTTAGGATTCCAGTGCACCTATTTATACATACGTTTTGAAGCAATTTGCTCGTCATGCTCTATCGAATATATAATGAATGTCAACGCCGTACAATTTGAGTTTGAAATGCCTGATGCGATGATTAGAAATCAAACGATATATTTGAAGTAGAATAAATAGTAAAAGAAGCTATCGCTATAAATTCAACAGCCTAAGAAACTTTTTTTCTAACAATAAAACACTTCAAGCTATTTTTAATGGTCAAGAAGAATCGTCAACATCACTCCTCAACATGGAGCATCAGCATACTAAAGACTAAGTTTTATGTATGTTTTGGAACACAGTTACTGACTGCTTCTAGTTTCATATCAAGTTTCATAAAATTGCTCGTAATGTGTTAGACGCTAAGCGTCCGCTATGTTACTTAACATCATTCATGTCAGCAGATGATATTCAATTACATTTATTTGTCGATGCAAGCACCAGTACATATGCAGCAGTCACCTTTTTTCGTATATGCAAGGTGATGAACAATATATCCTCTTTGCCGCAGCTAAGTCAATACACGTATTCCATGATTTTGCTATCCATCGAGACGTTTTTGGGTGACTCAAAAACAGTGCTCTTGTGGATTAGGTCCACAACTCGTGTTTATAAGCAGTTCGTCGCCAGCAAAATATCAGAGCTACTGTATTCTACAGAACCGTTTCAGTGGAGATGGTTACCAACAGCTTTAAATGTAGCTGATGAAGCTACCAGGGGTAAACTGTTACTACAGTTTGACCCGAATTACAGATGATTGAAAGGTCCAGAATTGCTATGTCTATCTGAAAAAGAATGGCCCAGAGAACTAGCTGATTTCACGCCGAATGAAGATACCGAAAGAGAAATAAAGAATCGCATATTACTTGTGTTACAGAAAGATGAGTAACATTTAATTTACTTTAAAGAAATAACACAATTTTAAAGTATACCGAAATCTGTTCCTCAGAATTGCAAAACAACACTTTTAATCGAATTTTTATGCTACATCCCGCAATGGCGAGGAAATATTAATGGTTGATTACGTGTCAAAGGTAATTATAATGAACGGGCAGTACTACGCCAATTTGTTGAATCAGACTAATCCGATCTCATAGTAAAAAAGAATAAAATTGTGTACACAATTAACAGCTGGGTTAGGAGAGACTATCCCGATCTGCCTATTAAGGCCGGTACCCAACTATCATACATCTCAAGAAGCAAAGAGTCAAAGTTGTGTTTTTACCAAATTCGGGCAGAAGAACAATTCTCATTTGTTGCTAGAGGCTTTATACCTATAAGCCGCACTTCCTTCGTAAAGAATCTTCTATAAAGTCTAATAGATATACGCATTAGATCAACTATAGCAGATAGCATAACGGGGGCACTACATGTATACTCGTACATGAAGGATCCATCAATGGAAACTGAAGGATAAAGGCCATTGAAATACAATGATGTACTTTCTTGGCATAGATGGAGTATTTAACAATATGTAAAAAGGTAAGTACAATCATTAATTCCCTGTCACAGAGAGGCAAGATATGCAGATAAATAAAATTGATGCTTCTACATGGAATGATATGAAGCATCAAACGGCTCAACGACACGAAAATTTTACGTAAGCAGAGGGACTCTGAATGGGTCTTTTCCCCGCTGTTAATGGTGGTAGTGGTGAACGATACGCTACTCCAACTCAACGGCGAAAAAGTTTTAAGAGTAACATATGCAAACGAATTAGTATTGATAGTATCAGGGCTGTTTCCTTACACAATGGAAAGAGCTATACGAACGTTAAATCCATGGACCGCGAACAACGAACTATCCATTTCTTCTTCACTTGGTCAGCAGTTCAACGAATATATTGCTTATTGCGGCCGCGATAGGTGAGTTGTTAAGTTGTATTTATGGCATGAAATATACGTTCCGCATAAAAATACGTCAGCCGATTAGACCGTTTAGGGGCGGTTTGGTATAAACTGTAGGTTATTAACTGGTGTGTTTAACCGTCGGCCTAAATTGGCTAATAAGTAAAAACTCAGCTCTATGCTTGGATGACAATATGCCTAACGAGCAAATGGTGGTTACAAGCGAAAAGCTGATGTAGTATGTACGATCGTAGTAAGGAAAGGCTTTGAAAGCAGAAAATGCAACTAATCTCTAACTATTGTATATATAATACACACCCCATGAGTAGGTGAAAAAAATAACATCTTGGCCAAACAATTTAAAAAATAACAAAAAATATTTTTTAATACATTAAAAAATACCAAGTCTGCGAGTTCTCTTTGCTTAAGAGATCGAGCTGCAAGAAAATGTTTGGATAAAAACGAAATTTAGTCCACATGAAAGGCAACTTAGAATGAAATATTGGTTTAATATGGTATAAGAAAATAGATTTTTTTTTATTATAAATTTATTTATGTACATAATTTTGGAAGGTGTTTTTTATTTTATTTGAATGTTTTGGTGCTGTTTATTTTGCATTTTAAAAGCTCTTTTACAAGATTTTTCGAATAGAAAATTAAAAAACGCTAAACTTAGAGCTTGACACTTTAATAATCAGAAGGATTCACAGTTTCAAGTATTTCCTTTAGTGAAATTTCATGCAACAAAAAGGTTGTAAAAATAATATTGTAATGAAATATGAAAAACATCTAAGATATGGATAATGGATTTGAAAAAAATAAATGAATAATTTGTACAGATTAAGGGAATTGGATCGAACATCAAGATTTAAATATGAATATATTTATGTAAAATCTGCTATTGCAGATAAATATTTCCCTCTTGGCAATCAGTCTAACTCCAATAAAATCAATGGAGCTTAAGATAAAAAAAGAAATACTCAAGAGAGAAAAGTCCTTACTTCGGATGACACAAAGATTTAAGAATTGAGATATTCAGAATTAATGTTTTGTTTATGACCTTATTTCTTTCGATTATTTTCTACAAATGTAAATTACAATACTATAGACAATGGATATAAAAGCATTTTCTTTACCTTTGTGCGGCATGTCATCGAGTGGCGGTATGCGATCGATCACTGTGCCTGACCATGAGGATAAGACAGATCCTATGGAAGGTGTCGATTGTAGGGCAAACATTTTCAGTAGAATTACTTTTTGACGTCGTATGGATAATTGCTGTTGTTGTAGATAATTCGTTTTTAATGTTTGGATATTGTTGATAGCGATCTATGTTGTTGTTGTTAAATTGCCTGTGTTGATTAAAACTTTGTGCGAAATTTCCATGCGTATAAATATGATTGTAGAATTATTGTTGATACTGACTTTGATCAGTATATGCGTGCGAATAGTGCCGATCGTATGTGTAGAGAAATTTAAAAAAAATGCCGATGATTTAGTTGTTGCAGTTGTTTTTCGGGGTTTGTTGCGACCTGCTGTTCAGTTATTGTTAATTGAAATGATAGTCCTGCGTTCTGTTTCTGCTGTTGCACCTTGCCATCGCCCGCTTCAATGTTAATTTTGTTATAGTCACAGCCTTTCAGTTTTACGACGGAGTACGGATAACTCACTTTACACGAATTTAAACAAACTTTCCGTTAGTTTTATGCATATAGTTTTGTATAGATTTATATTACTGCTTATTCACAATACTCTAAATGTTGTCTAAGGGCACTATCACTCATTACAAGTCGCTGGAATTGTTTCATTGAAGCGGCATTTTCGAGTATTTTTCAAAATTGGTAGGAGATATGGATTTTTTTACTGGCGTTATATTATGCGTTATATGGCGTTATACTATGCTAACTTAAGATTCTTTGACACATGACTTCGTTAAATTTTTCAAATTTATTGCATCACCGTCTAAATCTATATATTTTTGCTCAGAGAATTTACGAGTAGTTATTGCTTACTATATACGTATATACACACGTATACACGAAAAATTTTACGTTGTTGTTTGCAATTGCGATTTGTGCTTTGTTGGGCAATCATTATCTTACAAATAGTTTACTTATTCTATAATAAAGAAATTCTTTGCTAATTTTATATAATTGGAGCTTTGTAATCGTTTAAGCGATTTTCGGTCGAGCGTGTTTTCGACAAATGGAGGGACCTACATTTTATACGAAGCCGCCTCCGATCGGCTGATGATTATTTTATGAGAAGCTTTATTTCATATCAGAAATACATTCGGAGGGGTTGACATTCCCTGTCGAGGAGCGATCGCAATTTCAAAATTATACTTAGTTTCTTATTTATATTAATTTTCTATAACTCTTAGATTTTGCACCGGAATTTGAACCCGGGCCCTCTGAATGGCAGTACTCAATGCTAACCCGTCGGATACCGCGGCCGCCAAATTTCACTAATTCTAAGTGACTAAAATTTAAATTAAATTAAATTTACTTGTAAAAATTCAAAAACAACTTAAAATAAATTAATTCGTACAATTAACATATATCCCTTGGCCAAAATAATTTGTATGTTATGATTGCATCTATGTAGGTTTTGGCCCACATTTTACTAGTTTATCTTCAGGTATTCAGGTATCTATGTCCGACAAGTTTCAGCAGAAATGCCACACCAGACTTTCTGAATATTTTTCCGTAGCTGCGTGACAACGAGTCTTCGAAATTCTCCTTTTCAGATATGACTAGATGTAGTCGATAGAATTAGGGTCTGGGTATTGACTCAGCCATACAAGAATTTCACAATACGCTTAAGATCGTTGTCCTGCCAAAAAATTCCAATAACAAAAGCATTCACAAGCAGTTCGACGACTTTTACTCAGCGGAAATTTGCTTAGAATACCTCGCAAAGTAGCTATGATTAATATAGCAAGGTGGCAGGCAGGCTTTTATAATATCGACAATTATTATCAACGTTCTTTGGGGGTAAACCACTAATTCCTTGTATAAAATTATAAAAAGAAAAAACATTAAAAAACAATATAAGATCAATACTTTGCCCAAATATGTATACGATATTATCAGTGTGGCTTTAGATCTGGTAAATCAACCATTGACCAGATATTCATCATATCTCGAAAAATACCCGTGAAACGGTAATCGACAGACACCCCTTCTTTGTCGATTTTTAAGCAGACTTCGGCAGCACGAAGAGGAGCCGCCTGTACGCCGCTATGTCTAAAATTTCCGTCAGTAGAGACGGCCCTCTCCGAGCAGTTTGATACCAAATGACTTGTGTGTGACTTCTTTAACTTATTGCTGGAGAAAATGAAAAAAGCGAATAGAAAGAATATAAAAAAAGTACAACTACTGGCGTATGCCAATGTTTTCTTCTAGACTGGATAAGGAGGCCAATTCTTCAAAAGCCAAATCATCCGACAGATACACCAAAAGATGGTTATCACTTTTTGCAAGGTTCGGACTATAAAGTGTATGATCAAGAGACTCTCAGAGAGTTTCGGAGCCTATCGCGAGTCACTAAAGACATTATTTGATTGTACTTTGTAAATACGTAAAGAAACGAAATCACCTGATTTCTGCTTTGCCGCTCGATTCATGAGTTATCTTACTTCTGTTTATCTCACGGCAATGAGCTGCGCTAGACTTTGTAGAAATACAGTTATTGGTGGGTAGAGAGAAGAAGATACAGAGAAAGAAAGTTATAGATGAGCACAAGCCAAAAAAAAAAACATGTCCAGAATTACGCTTGCATTAATTTGGAGTTTTCCAAAATTTTTACTTTATAGAAACCGAGATTAAATTTATACAGTACAGCATTCGTTGGTAATTACGAAAATTGGTTAAGTAAAATACTTTTTGAGTTAAGCCGGAGTAGAAGCTATGAGCATTTTCGCATTGTAAGTGTAGATATATAACAAATTTATATAAAGTTGTACACAAAACACTACATTCATTAAAATTCGTTCGGTAGTTTTTAAGTTCATGGCGATCAAACAGACAGACTGACAGAGCCGGAGGACGGCTTTTTTTATAATATTTAGTTAGATACGTAAATCTCTCTCTAGTAGTCTTGTAGTGGTTGACGTTTCTTAATTTCAATTTGTTGACACTATCATGTCGTTGAGCTTGGCAGACATATTTCTGAGTTCACAGCAAAATGCAGTGTTAGACAAATTATTGAACAAAATTTTAGCTATGAACGTTTTTTCGTTTTGACCTCTTTTGTCTTGGGTGTCACTAAAATGAATATGAAAGGAAGAGTTGTATCCGAACAAAGTATAACCGTTTGAGAGAGTAGGTTGAAAAATGTTAGTATTTGGTATATTATTAAAAAACGCTCATTGAAATTATTTTAAGAGCTACTTCTCAGTTCTTAGTATTTTATTATAATCGCCGAATCTGACTTCAATTGTAATGTCACTCTTTCAATTAGTAAAGTTTCAAGTAGTGATTTTATGCACAGAGTGAAGTGTTATCATACTGATCTAGGTGTACAAGCTTAAAATACAACTGTGCACAATGGAGCCACTAGAATGCACAAAGAGCGGCTTTGATGGCATGTGTAGTGAATAGACTCATTTTTCAAAAAGCCTTTATACAAGAAATACAGAATGTATACATATATGTAAACGTATGAACGCAACACATGTTCCCGCCGTGAACTCAAATATATTTATTTGCATAGCTCACCAAGGAAGCCACAGGTGGGCGTCAGTTGAACAAATTTAACTAGTCTACTCCCCAGGCAATTCCTGGTGGTAGCCTTTTATACAAACTTTAGCGGATATGTGTTTTGTTGTTCATTTTTAAAGGAAATATTACTATGTTTAAATATACGTACTTTTCTTAATCAACAGTCGATTTTTAATATTTTCTCTTTATGGTTTGTATTTCAAAAACAATTACTAGTAATAAACCCTTGTGCAGTATGTATTTATGTAAATTGAAATAATTTTTCGTCTACACAAGATTACAACAATGCGATTGTACAATTATTTCCATATTCCAATTCTGCTCACTATCATTCTGCTTCTACAATTAAATATAAAGTAACACACAACAAGGACTAAGTTTACATATATATATATATATATATATATATATATAATATATAAAACATATATATATATATATATATATATACAGCTGAAGCGATTTTCGGTCAAGCTCTTCCTCCAGTTTGTTGTATAACGACGGGACCTACAGTTTATCCTATGCCTCCTCCGCTCTGCCAATAGATTTTTATGAACAGTTTTTTTTTAATTTCATGCCAGAAATACACTTGAAGGTTTTGAGATTCCCTTAACTTTCTATAATTTTGGATGTTGCTGCCGCCAATTGCTTTTATAGACTCACCCCTTGCTTTGCATTAAATTGAAGGTTTTTTTTATCTAAGATAGTTTTATCCGATTTATGTAAAATCTGTACGGTGTATCAGCAGCTATTAGGAGGTGGAAAGTTGATCCATTAGGTTCGTTCTTGTTGACTCTTATGACCGTATATCAGATACAGGTTACGGCTGTGGTATTCACATACCTTTCTTTCGAAAACTCCTAACGCCGACTCATCAGATATTACCATCGCCCTATATCTATAGCAGGGCGGGAACGATTAGCGAGTTGTAGTTTGGTTTTCGTTCGTCAAAAAAGGACATTACTTAATTAATTATTTGGCTACTCAGTCCAAACTAGCACCTGTTGGCAAGAGTGATTCGGCTTTGGATTTCCAGGCTGATATTTTTGTTGGTGTTTTTATTTCAAAGTTATATCTGTCAACAGTGTCGTGGGAGCTGAGTCGCGAATGCAACTACTATTTGTTTGATTGTTTGGTATTTCGTCTTACCCCCGTGCATTACCATTCCCACATCCTTCGCCTTATTCAGTCTGGAGAATGCTGAGCTCACGGCGCGATTGTTTAGGCCAATAATGTCAATATCATCGGCGTACGCCAGAACATCTGTACACTCTTATAGAAGAGGAAGTCACTTGATAAGGAATCACCTTGTCTTGAGCTAATATTACATAAAAAATTGGTATATTTAAAAGTAAAAGACAATGACTATTAAATGGTTTAGCCGCTATAGAGGTTAAAAAATAGGCTCATTTTTGACAAACTATGGTCTTTGGAAGTACGTACGGATTTAATTTTAAACTAATTTTTATGAAGGCCTCGAATAATCTGTGCTCCCAATTTGAAAAATGTGATTTTGAGAACATCGCGGTTAAAGTTTTCATTGTACTCAGCGAACGCTCTGAGGGACTGCAACCAAATAAAAGACTCAGCTATTTGAAATATTTTTTTCACTTTAAAACCTATAACATATCATTTCTTGAACCCAAAGGATTCCTATGAGCAAAAAAATGCGTTTTACAAAATCCTAGAGTTCATATGTATCCTCGCTTGGAGTGCAATACCACGTATAAGCAAAATGCTATATTGCACATACATATGACACTTGTCAAATCTACAGGAAACAGTAATATCAGATATATTTAGCGAAACCGCTGGAACTTCTTTTGAATGAATAATTATATATAAATGGCGCTTTGTATGCGCTGAAACGATTTTCGGCCGAGCTCCTCCTTCAATTTGTAGTTTTGCGTCTTTGTTGTTTTTCAAGCAAATAGAACGGCAGATGGTTTTTTAATGAGGATCCTTTATTTTATATCCCAAATACACTCGGAGGGGTCAACAATCCCTGCCGAGGGGCAACCACAATCGGAAAATTCGGACCTTCCGAATGGCAGTATGTAATGCTAACAGCTCGGCTACCGCGGTCACCAATTATTAGTTTATTATATTTAAGTCAGATTCATAATTTAAAACCAAAAAATACTTCAAATACGGTATTGCTGTACGTTACATATGTTTTATACGCAATATTGAAAATAAAAATGAAATATGATAAAAAATTGTCATACAAAATTTGGATGGATCGTCTGACGATATAAAAAAATTAAGCCCATGCAAATATTCCTTTTATTTTTTTGATATTAAGTGCGGTTTGGACGGCTACACTTCCTTCAGGTTTTAATTTTGATTGTTGCGATAATATGCTAAAATCTTTTTAAGATCCACTTTGTATTGAATTTGAATGATGAGTACTTTAGGAGCCGTAAATTAACAACATTATTTCGTTGTATCTTAATTGAATGCGGATATTATATTCTTGATCAAAAATATTTCCTTTTCGGTGACACGATATGCAATTACGTGTATTTCAGTGTTGGGAGTATCTAGAAAGGCGATATGGAGGTATGGAATACAATGCTGGTGCTCTCTGAGCAGCTGGTATCAATGAAACATTACGATTGCAATAAAAAAAAGGCTACGAGCCGAGTACATCGTAAAAAATATAGGGATATCCATTTCATGGTTTCAAAAGTACAGAGCTGCATATTTGACATCCGTGAAACTCTGCACAAAGCGTTAAAACTGTGTCCACGTTGCGCGATTTCAGAGGAGATTATGATGCACATTATTGTCCAACTACTCACGCAATGGGTACAATTTCTAAGATAGTTTAAGACACTGTATCGGTTACAGATCGGTATGCACATCCTCGGTTGGATCGTTTCACCTCTAATATCGCTACCGTAAGTAAAAGTGTAGCAGAAAGCTCGAAACGAGCAAGATTGTCGGTTTTGTGGCCTCGAGAATCAAATAGTTGAAGAGAGGCCACCGAAAAAAACAAAATTACTATCTGGTGCGCTCTTTAGTGCGGAAGTGTTATTGGGCCTTACTACATTGAAAACGGCAATGGCGTGACATTCAATCGAGAAGTTGAGGCCATATAATAATCGACTTTTTTGGACTGCATTTAACGAGCACGGCCGTGTTTTCAACAAGATGGTGCCACAAACCACACAATACGGGCGAATGAGCCTTTATTGGGATAGAAATTTCCCGGCCTCGTCTTGGCGATACCAATTGGCCACATCGTGATATATGACACCATTAGGTTTTTTTGCGGGCTACGCGAAAGACCGGGATTATGCGGAAGTAGTTATATGGCTGACCCAATATATGCCATTAAGTGGTCGAACATGAGCACAAATGGATCGACCGTTGCAAAAATTCCAATAGCGGTCATATAATAACAAAGTTCAAAGTTTATAATAAAAGAGGAAAAATATATAAAAATATTTACATTTATGCATAACGAACGTATACAATACGTAGAAGTCTTGAAATACTAAAAGCATACACAGAAATGAGAGATATCTGACAAAAATATCTGTCGAAACTGTAAAATCATCCGGATTTTAGAAATTATTGCAAGGCTTCAATTAAGCAGATTCAGTAAATAAATTTCTTTGATTTTATAAAAAAAAGTTTTTTCAAACTATTAAATATTATTTGGTATATTTCCTGAAATGTTTCACTGCGTATTTTATGAGATAATTGTGAGAAATACAATAAACACGATATTTTTTTACACAGACACCACTGAAAAAATTATTCCACAAGATTTATTCTTACAATAACTTTAACAGCGTAGATATTAATTTTGAGAGATAAATTACAATAGAGGAAACTTTGATATATTCACAAACATTGCTTTTTTAATTTCCTTCAATTATTTTCTACCGGTAAGACCCATTGATTTTTCCTTTACAATTATACTTGGCTTTGCACTTGTTACTTCAGCGAAATTTTTTGTATATTTACATGTACTATTTCACACTACACCGAGCTCACAACGAGAGACATACATATATGCGCTCCAGGTTGTGTTTACAAATTATGATAACTTCACGCACATCAGAAGCACACATTTTTTACAGGAACAGTTATGCGAACGAGTAGTTATTGAAAGCATTTTGCGATATTGATTATTTATAAAATTACGACGCATATGGCTTATGTATAAGCATACAAAGTAGTTTAATATCTATCTACACGTATATTCAAATGAAGCACATCCAAGAATTGTGTCAAAATTCATCTTCGAATTTATATTAATATGTTTAGTGTATATACATATGTACCCTGCGCACTCACTGCATTCGAGTCTCGAATATCGCTTTTCGCACTTTGCAGCCGTTGTGTTGTGTCTGGAAAATACAGCCAACGGTACATGCATCCGTTTGTTTGTTTGCTGATTGTTTTGTGCGTACTAAGTGCCATTGTCGTGTATTGCCACAGTGTTTACTCGTTAAATTCGTTCGGGCCCATTATTATCTAGTATATAAATATATATGTACATATATGCGAGTTGAGGGATGCGTTTTCATGCCTCATATGCATTGATTTGCTCACTGCTACTTCCTTTGCATTTGATTCGCCATACATGCTTGCATCGTATTCGTCGCAGACTCTGTCATTAAATTGGAGTGAACAAATTGACACTGGCGCGAGTGAGTAAGCGCGTATTGCTTCACTTACATTGGCTGAGTATGTCAGCTTCTAGTATTGTTAAGCTTAAAGAGCGAATGCTGAAGACTTAATAACGTTGAGGAATAGAAGAGTATCGCTATACTTTTTTGCTGTTAAAGCGGATGGTTTTCGAAGGCAACATAAAGGATAACTGTTGTATTGAAAGCAGATTGCAATGCTTTGCCTTTCATACAGCTGCGTACATATTAATATACACAATAATAGGAACGCAAGTAGCGGTTGTTTGTTTCTTGAGTACCTATAACTCTATTTTAAACACATACATATGTATGTAGTAGCAAGCATTTTATTTACAAAACTCCGTTCGAAAAATGTTTAAGAACTTAATTACAATGATTTATTTTTTAACAATATGACCCGAATCATGAGATGAATTTCGCTCTTTCGTCGTACTATATTCATATCGACTGATACATTGATTAGACATTAATCCGTCCGTCAAACAGTGCAATTGTATTATTAGATATGTACATATACATACGAAAGAGTTTTTGCTCGATAAGTCGATAAGTCAATGAGCAGGCTTTTTTACATAGAGCCATCAGAGTGATGAAATTCAGTTACTAAATCTACTATTTTTTTTTTATTTTTATTAGAAGTGTTTATGTAATAAATTAGATAAATGTATGTTCATATGTATAGAAAATATTGAAAGACCTTTTTCCAATATAGATAAGAAAATTTTAAATCTGAGGATGCTAAAAACACACATTGATATATCAATCAATATATTTATAATATATTACCACATTCGAAAAAAATGTACAATAATTTTGGTTCGATTTACTTGAAACTTGGTAAACAGGTGGCTTATTGCTAATATTAACGGGAAGACTACTATTCTCTTCGGAAAGTGGACTAGGGACCAACGTATTCGAAAAAATCGCATTTATAGCTCGATTGTCTGGAAATTAGGTTCATAAATGTATTTTTACTTAGATTAGCAGGGAGACTACTCTTCCCCCAGAGATCTGGACTATTAAGCCACTTATTCAAAAAAAAAAGCATTTATGGTTGAAATTACATATGTACATACCTGAAGATCGGTATATAGATTTTGAAAAAATGTAAGTATTCATGGCTCACCTTAGTAAATTTTTGGAACCGAAATCGATTTGCTCTATATATACATATATAAATAATACTTTCTTTACGATAAAGGAAAATTTATCGCTTTGAGTAGCGAAGAATTGATCCCCACATACAAAAAAGTGGTTAGATTAAAATATAATGGAGAATTTAATATATCTACTTAAATAATGGACAAAATAAGTGATTGGATTAAATTATAATGGAAAACTTAATATTTCTCCTTAAATAATGGAAAAAATACAGAAAGCCATAGCAACGTGTGGCCGGGTCTGCCACTATACATACTATAAATATGTATATATGTATCCAATTGATGTGAAATAATTATAGTAGATATTTGTTGGGTAAAACAATTTCAACATAGCTTTTAATATAAAAGTCTGAAAAATAATGGTGATATTCTGAAATATCGACAGGAATGAGCTAAACTTTAACAAGCTAAAAAACTGAACCAGGAAAGATATTAAAAAAAAATATATGCAGCCTATTAAGTAAGACTATTTAAAACTATTTTTTCACTTCATTCATTCACCAAAAATAATTACTGAAATTTAGTTCAATAAGCTGACGGGTTTTTGATTTATATCATATTAAGCATTGTTTAAGCATGAGTCAGCATACGCCGAATTTCCCCAGCATACATTTAGGCATTAGTTTTTGCTTTCTGTCATTTGATGTATTTATGCATATATGTATGCACGCATGTGTGTACATATAGTCATACGTATGCATGCATAGGTGCGATTCTCAGGTGGACAATGAGGCATGCTAAACTCAGTGTATCTGGAAAGACGCTCGAAATGTTGTATGTTCTGTTGCCTAAACGCCTAACAGCATCAGGAACTACTGAAACACGCTCGTTCCTCGCAAAGTTGGCTTACAAAACCACTTGAAGCACACTCTCGCTACATTCTCAACGCAAAAAGAGTGCCTGGTAAGACTCTTGACAGCTTTCATGTTTGCTTGCTTAGACGCTTAACAACACCAGGAACTGCTAAAAAACGCCAGTACCTAAGTGGTGTAAGCTGTGCTTAGAGAACCCTCTCGCTTCACAAAATTTGAAGAGCCAAAGCGCTCAAATAAATTATCACATGTAACGGTCACCCGGCACTATCTCATCCGGAGCTCTACACAATTCATAGTGTACAAAAAAGGAATGGTCACTCCGCAGCATCTCTTATATTTGCCTATGGAGATCACACCCGAACTCCTTTTATAGCCATGCATATTACACAAAAAACACATGCGATTTTTGTTTTTATAATATTAATGCCACCTTTTGTGGATTTGCGTTGGTTGTGTATTTCGCGTCAATTCCTTGGTTAAATATAAATTTTACCCGTATTCCAAGTTTCCTAGAACTGTGTACCAAATTGATGTTCAACATATGTATTTAGGTCTTGGATTTTGCGCTTTTTTTGTTAATATAGAATGCAATTTAACCATTTTACCACTACCTCCGTGTTTGACTGATGCTTTCAAATTTTTGCATTGCTGCTTTATAAAACTATATGATGGTCGGTCCGTTTCAAAAACGATGTTCGAGGCGTGTTCAAAAAATGTCGCGAATATTATGTTTTTTTCAAAAATTATTTATTTATTCATGAATATCTATTTTGTTCCCTTCAAAGTAATCCCCATGAGATATTATACACTTGTGCCAACGGTTTTCCAATCTTCGAAGCACTTCAAAAAATCATTTTTTTATGTTCAGCTCCTCCTTCGATGCCGTCTTTATCTCGTCAATCGTAGCGTAACGTCGTCCTTTAGGGAACAAGAAAAGGTCACAGGAGGCCAGATCTGGGGAATACGGTGGCTGTGGCATCATTAGTGTGTTGTTTTTGGCCAAAAAGTCGCGAACAAGCAACGATGTGTGAGCAGGGGCGTTTTCGTGGTGCAAAAGCCAATTTTTGTTCATAAATTGTACATAACTTGCAGGTAGTATTCCTTATTGACCGTTCTACCCGGAGGCAAGAACTCATGATGCACCACGCCCCTGCAATTAATTTTTTCGTCTGTTGTTGAAGTGCTCGGGCGTCCGGCACGCTCTTCGTCGTTCACATCTTCTCGGCCTTCTGAGAACATTTTGTACCACCGATAAACTTTGCTTCGGTCCAAGGTAGCTTCTCCGTATGCCACAGTCAACATTCGGAATGCATCCGCGCACTTAATTTCGTTTTTCACCAATATTTGATACAGGTTTTTGATCCATTTTTTTTGAATAGGTAAAAATCGAAGATCATCCAAAATACGTGCAAGCAAAGCAGCTGTCAACAATTATGTGAACATTCAAAATGGCTGAACTTGTCGACATAAGTGACAGACATGAGTACCAACATAACGCCACAAAAAAATCGAAATTCGATTATACGTAACCCGCGAAAATTTAAAATTCGTGATCATTTTTGAACACTCCTCGTATTTAAATTTGAGGGAAACAGTTTTCCAGTCCTTACCCAATTAATCTTTAACCAATGTCATATACGGCTTCTAATTTTTTGTATTAATCAACGCTTTCGTCCGTGTAATTCATACTTTCGTAGAACATCCTAAAGAGTTTCCGGAAAGCGATATTATTGGAACTGACAATTTTGGATATTTTTGAACTAAAATTTTATTATCTGCGAAACTGTATCTATACGAAAATAATTGGAAAATAAGTGAATTGAAAAATAGTAGTCAGTGTGCAATATTTTTTCTAATATAGTTTGCATATCTTTTTAAAATTCTGATAAATGACATTGGAGCCGCAACTTAACTGTGAATGGTAAGCGCTACCGTGAAATGATATTATGTGGTTTCAACAAGATGGTGCCACAGCACGCGTAACAATGGACTTATAGAGAGGCGAGTTCGGTGAACATTTTATTTCATTTTAACGCCTTACTATTTTTTGTGGAGCTATGTTAAATCTGATGTCTACACAGACAATTCAATTGACGCATTGCAAGACAATATCGAAGCATTTATTCGTGAGATACCATCCGAAATGTTGGAAAGAGTATGCTAAAATTGTACTAAGCGGTTGTACCAATTTAGGCGCAGTCAGGGTCAACATTTGCTTGAAATAAGCGTACTATCGATTCAATTAAAGATTTCATGCATTTTTCTGAATTTTATGTTTTTTTTTTAAAACTTTCCTTGCCCTTAAAAAATCACCTTTTATATTGGAAAGATTGCTAAGATTCTAATCATGTGCGATTCAGCAAATCGCCCTGTAATAAATTTGATTGGAAAGAGTTAGTGAGTTCCTGCGACTTCATCGCTAAATAAATAAAATATTTTCCATTCTTCTTTTAAGTTTGAGGTTTTGGAGCCTGGAAAAAGTATTCAAGTATAAATTCTTCACTAAGAAGAGTAAACTTTTTGATCATATCTTTAAAATTTCTAAATTATGTGTGAGTCAATATGTGCACTACGTAATTTTATTTTATTTAGAACTTATTTACACTTAAAAAATCCGACAATTTATTTTGAGTTCCTGTTTTAGTATTTTGAGTTATAAATTTCGTCGAATATTGCTTGATCAACAACCGCCGCGTATTCAAAGTACTGATGGACCGTCTCCTATGCATTTAAAGCCAGCTTCATCCGAATGCTCTTTATTTCTGTTACC